TCTACGCGACGTTTCAGGGTGCGTTTCGAGCCGCGCCGTTGAATTAAAGCGTCATCGCGGTTCCGCGCCGTGTCACGGGGTACAACTGCGAACGACCCTTCGGAGAATAAACTCCCATCCAGTATTTATGGACTTTTGGGATTAGCGAGGACGAAGAAGGGAGGCAACTCTCTGTGCATCTCTTTTATAAACTCGCTTTCGAAACACCTCGACGACAAGAAAGGAGAGGCAACCCGCCCTCCTTCCGCGATGTAGATCGCGATTCGCGTTGTTTATACGATGCTGTCGCATAGGGGATGCTCTTTTGTCCGCGGTTGATTCTCACCGGGAGATACCGTCGAATGAATTTCAGGGGTGGCGGAGCGATATACATGTCATGCCCGGCTGCGGTTCTGAACTTTACGAGTTCTTCTTGCCTCCCGCGATTCCAGAGACTGCGAATGCGAATCGCGGTAATCGTAAAACCACTCGATACAATCTTCAATGCGATTTAACTTTGATCGATTCAACGTATACAAACACAAAATTAGTTATGCAGTATCTATATAACGACTTTATGCCAGTGTTTTTGTATATCTCGAAAATTGTAATTCTATAACTTAAGAATGAAAGTTATCGATATTGAACATAATTAGGCTAATGTAGTTTTTCAAAGACAAAAATAGTAGAGAAACGATTGTAAAAAATTTAATTTCGACATAATAAAAAGAGAATACGAAGATAGCGTTTAAAAAAAGACAAAATGTAAGCAAATGTACAAAAAATGCTATGAGAATTAACCACTATATATCGAGTTTCACAAATCTTCTTATGTATACGTATATATATAATTTTAAATTATATTTAATTAAACAAATTCTTTATTAAAATATCTTCATTAAATTAAATTTTAACTTTTCTCGCTGTATTGAATAAATCTCATATTATTCTTTGTCATGTATGCTTATACAAAATTATATTAGGGAGAAATAATAAGAGAGAATCGACTATAATGTTGAGATTTGCATTGTCTAAAAATTTTATAGCTATAGAAACGTGAAATATAATCACGAGGCGTCATTGGTCCGCCGCGATACGTTTGTCTCGCAATGCGAAGCGTATAATACGATCATAAAGTTATTAACGTGCATATTACATGCGTGCATTCATGCAGCGTATCAGGTTTGCAATAGAACGAGAATTCGCCGTTCAATACAGTTTTTTTTTTTCAAACAGCAAATAGGACAACATAAATTATCTATTACTATATATATCTAATAAAAGATCGTGCTGATTCCTAGAAAATATATATAGTAACAAAAACAAGATTTTTCGATATAAGATATTCTTTCCCTTTTAATTTTAATGATAGATCCTTATTTATTATACTACAGGTTGTTTTTTTAACGAAAATGTTTAGATATCAATATATTTCGAGTAATTAGTAATCGGAAATAAAACGGGTTTTATGAGTTCTGAGTAGATGACAATAGAATTATTTAATAAAGACTTGTATAATAAAATTTATTGATAAGATTTACTGAATATAAATGGTAGAAATAAATAAATATCTGATCCTAATATGCAAACCGATATATTTTACAATTATTTAGATTGTGTCTTTATATTTTTCTTTTGTATACGATATATATATTTTATTCTTATATTATTTAAAATTATCTTTAATGTATCTTGGTTCTCTATAATTCTAAATCCATTCATTAATGGATACCATAATAATGGTTAAACTATTGTTTTCTATTTTGTTAAAAGAGCAAAGATAGAATTAACTTCTGTTAATTCATTCAAAAGGTTAGGTAAGTGAATATGAGAAAAGCGCGCGAAGGTGAAGTGTAGTCCACGTCAACAGAAACTTCCCGATGTTTTCTGCAGTTTTCGAGACAGACGTGCGTTTAAATGCGAGGAAGTTTGCAACCTCTCCCTTGGATTGTTTTCCTTCGTCGTGGATAATTTCCCGTCTGCCACTTGCACCTCGCGCAGTAATTTATTGTAAACGCGAAGGCGGACGCGCCGGTTTAAACGATTTTCCTGATATGGCAGCGAACGGACGGATGAAAAGACACGGAAACGCCTTCCATCGTCACGTTAACGATTCATTACGGAAGTGTAAATTAGCAGAAATCGTATCTCGCTCGTTGCTATTGCTCATCGCCGGAAACATGCGATCATCGCTAAAGAAACGTTAAATTAATATTGATATACTATATACTTGAAGACGATTCACTTAAAACTGTTTGAGCGATTCACACATTTTTTAAACCAGGTTTTCATTAAAAACGTTGAAAAGGTACGAGTTTATTCAGTAATGTCTGACTTTTGTTGTCATGTTGTGCCAAACGGATGAATCCATTCAGATAGATCAAAATAACTGATACGAATGTACATGGCACAAAGTTTTTTTTCGTAAAATTAGCAGTTTTTTTATTTTAAAATTTTCGTTTCAATAAAAATCGATTTGTTTTACGCAAATTTAATTATGTCACATTTTTATTCTATTTTTTCCGATATTTGACTTTTAGTTACAAAAAAGTCAGAAATTGGAAGTTTTTAAAAATTAAGCATATTTAATGTCAAATATCAGAAAAATAGGATAAAAAATGTGATTATTCTAAATAAGAAACTGTCAAATAAGATTTTATTTTCAACAGTCACAACGCTTAATTAATTTCCAAACACTTTCAATTCCTGTTTTTTTTGTAACTAAAAAAGTCAAATATCGGAAAAATAGGACCAAAATGTGACATAATTAAATTTTCGTAAAACAAATCAATTTTAATTTAAACAAGATTTTTAAAATATAGATAAGAACAACTAATTTTACGACAAAAACTTCGTACCATCGTATCAGTTATTTATTTTAAGCTGTCTAAATGGATTCATCCATTTAGCAAAACATGACAATAAAAATCAAGCATTACTGAATAAACTTATCCTTTCATTCCGCTTGTTGTGTGGATTTCGGTATTTTTTAAACGCGTATGCATTAATAATTTCAGCAATAATGTTGGGAACAATAAAAACTTGTGAATGCATAACTATTATTTTGTCAAATAAAATGTGTCCGTATGAGAGGCAAATATTTTTCCAATGAAAACAATTAATACTTTATTTCTCACTCATACGTGATTGATGAAATACGATACCGTTGTTTTATACTTGTAAACAATATTGAAAAGCAATAGTTATAAATAATAGATAAGCCAGATAAACAAGTAACATGTACACATTATAGTACACGTCGGTTAAAAAATATTTCTAAAAGAGATTTTTAGCATAAATTCATTCATTCAGATTTCATACTTTTATTATTCTTGTTATAAACTTCCATTTTTCGTTCATATCTTTATAAGTTTCAATATCATTGAGTTCGTTGTGTTATTGATTTTATATATTTTGTTAAAAGTAGCAAATATATATATATATATATATATATATATATATATATATATACACACGATAAGAGAAAAGCTATTTAAAAGCATAAAAAGATTATAAAGTATTTAAAGAACACTAAAGAACAGGCGAGAGAATACATTATACGAAAAAAATATAAAATGATATAAATATATTAAGAGCATTTTTCATATCATACATTTTTCGAAATATTCTTTCTTAATAAATAAATGAATTATATTGATATAATTTTAACGCAATTTTCGCTTATCTTATATCATCATCAGTTAAGTATCTTATATCGTCTGGCAATTTTAATTTATAATTAATAAAGGTACTTACCTAGAAGATGTTGACACAATGCTGGAAGAATGCAGAACGATATACGGGGCGGAAGTTGACGTCGCGGTCGACTCGAAGTTATTGTCCTTGTAACGGTGTGGCCTTGTAACTCACTGCAAAACACAAACAACGTTAGTTTCCTCGTGCGTAGCGATATCGGGGGTTAATGGATAAGAACACTTTACATCATCTCGCGAGATCGCGAGCCGGAGAAAGCGAATTCGCCGAGCGAAAGCGTCCGTTTGACACGAATTGCGCGCGAAGTCACGAATTCGAAACGTTGTAAATCGCGCACGGTGATATCGGATGCATGCGAACTGCGAACGCGAATCGCGATTATTACTCTGTCCGCCGGATAGTGAGATATCGATAAACTATGAATTCAGCCGTTCCGCCGTGAACGATATTCCGAACTTGGCTGTATTGTGCAATTTCTAACTTCGTGTCGCAACTTCCGAATAAGCTATCTTTTAAGTTTCAATAGTCGTTAACGCTACGAGCCATTTCGAGCCGCTGGTTAATATCGCGTAGTTATTAACTTGACTCTCGACGTTCGATAGACGCTATATTGTCTCAGGCTAATGCGGAACTTTTGTGCTCAAGCCATTCAGAAAAGCGAGCGAAAAGGTATTACAAGATCTCTCAATATTCTCGTCCGAAGAATCCATGTACCGTTCGCGCATATCGTCAACAAATCACCGTTAACGTCCGATAACCGGCGTTTCCTTCTCATTCAAGATGGGCCGTTTGCGTCGCGACTCCGGACTCCGGACTCCGGATCGTCAGACAACTTCGATCGCATCGCCGCGCATCGTCGCGAGGTACTCTCGCTACCTGCGATACGAAATTAGCCGCGCGAGAATAACGCGATCGCGAGCGGCGATACGACATTCGAAGTCGGGCGCGACGAAAATTCCACCTAACGCGTTTACACGACCGCTAGAAGGAAGAAGGAAGACACCGCGGCGGCATCGCGCGAACGCGAAGAGAGGAGCAGAGGAGCATCTTTAACCGACTCGAAGGTGGGCGCGGAGCGCGGGGCGCGGCGGCGGCGGCGGCTGACTCGAAAACCGTTCGGTTCGGCGTATACGCGAGGGACGAGGGAAGCCGAGCGCGCCCGAGCGACCTCGTCCTCGCGGTGGTGGGGGGGAGTCGCCACCGCCGCCGCCGCCGCACTCCGCAGTCGCTCGTCGCTCGGTTCGGCGGGTGTGGTGGGGAGAGACGCTCTCTCGTCCCCTGCGCTCGCTCAGTCGCTCCGTCGCCGCCGAAGGGAATGTGTCGCCGCGCGTTGCCGTTCCCCTCGTAGCCGCGCCGCGACGGGTGTCAACTCTCGCGCTGCTCTCGTTACCCTCTCACCGTCGTCGTCGTCGTTGCGTCGCCACTCGCCGCCGTCCACCCTCGCCGCGATCCTTACCCGTCATGGAGACTCGTAACTCCCGTGCGACACGGTGAAGCGCGACGGGGCGCTCTATATCGCGCGGCCAACTTCAGTGTGTTCCGCGCGAGTGATACGAAAGCGTCTTTTCGGTCTCGATCGCGCGACTTCGCAAATTCGGTATGCGTAACTGTGATCGCCCCGGGATCTGACTCCGTTCCCCAGGATCTACTCGAGGAAATCCCCTCGGAGAACACGGATAACCGACGGTGGAGAACTCAAGGGAGGCCGCCGCGCAGCCGAAGGATCGCGTCAGCCGTCGGCAAGACGCGTGCCTCGGCCGAGATCGGCTGCTCGATCATAGCGATCCCGCCCGCCCAGGATCGTGTTTCCCGGAATTCCCGGAAGCTCCGAGATTGGGATGTAACGAGGCCTCGGACCTCGCTAGTGTGTTTCGTGTGACAGTGAGAACGGTGAACAACTGTTCTGGTTTTTGTTCTTCGGTTTCCCGCTTTCTGTGCGATGTGCCACGGTCCCACCGGTCGCCGCATCCTCTGTCTCGTAAGTACCGTAAAGAAAAACGGCTTTTCGAGATCGACGGTTCGTACCTCCGCGCTCGTTCTTTCCCCCTCGAAAACGACCGTCGCTTATTAGTGAATTCGACATCGGTGTGCCGTCGCGTCGATCGATACCGATCGGGGATCCGAATCGGAGCTTCTCCGACTTGGAGCGACGGCAACGGAATGCGACGCGATTCGAAGCGTCGGAACGAGGCGCGTGTGCTCGCGCGCGCACGCGAGATATATATTTTTCCCCCCGTGGTTCTGTGAACTTGTGATGAACGTGAAAGTGGAAAGCGCTGTCCGAAATCGGAATGCGTCGGTCGGAAATTTGGCCCGTTGACGTGCACTCGTTCGGCGCGTTCGTTTCGGAGCGACGACTCTCCGATTCTCGAACACCGCGCCAGTCACGTCCGCGTCGGTCGCTCTCGATCGCGGAAGTACAACCGTCCGATTTTTTTTCCCAGTGTACTCGCTCTCCTCGATCTCGCGGTGTGGAAGTTACAGCGTATCCTCGCCGCGCCGGTGTAATTTCACAGTGACGCCGGCCTGTGTTTTCTTGAAATTTTTTTTCAAGCGATTCGAACGTCGAAATGGCGCGGGAGAATCGCGCGTCGATGGAAAATCAAGGATTTGTATTCGCTACGATCGTGTCGTGCCGAGTTCTCACGCACCGCCTGGTTTTTGCAGCCGTTACTTGTTGACGTATTTGCCCTGTGTCTCATTAGTGAAATGCGCTATAAGTGCGCGACGTAAACACGAGCGAAGGAATTATCTATATTTATACGTATTTACGTACATACGCGATGGCGAATTTCACGCTTCCTCGCGAGAATCGATGCGCGACGATTGTGTGCGCGGAGAAATTGGGCCTCGGCGAAAACTCGCGATAACAGACGCGTGTGCGCGCGATTAAATTGTTTAATATCTGCGATGAAAATAGCGGAGGACTTTAAACAAATTTCGCGCGCATTCCCCATGCCGCCGGGGAATCAAATTTCTCCACAAATGCGATTGCGCGCTTTTAATGCTTTTTTACTTCGGTCTCCTTCGACGTCGAAAATCTCGTTTTCGAATTTTCATTCGCAGTTAGCTCAAACTGTCGGACGAGCATGACGGTAAATTATATTTCGAGTTACGTGTGTGTCGATACGAGCTCACCGGTATATATATTCGAAGCGGATAAAAACGGGGAAGAACGGAAAAACAAATGACGTCTGCTGCTGATCGGTCGCGTGCGGTGTGTAAATTTGCGGCGAACGTGCAAATTCGTCGGAAATCGCGAAAATCGATCGTGTTTGATTTTATGCGTCTTTTTGTGCGCGTGCGACAAAAGGGTGTGCTCGTCCGTTTCAAAATACGTGAAAGATTTGGATAACGACAGGTGTTGGTGTGCAAGCCGCGTGTGGAAAACCTTAAATACGCGTGTGCTTCTCGATTCTTCGGGCGGTGCGAAGAGGGCACGTATTATGAAACTTTTCGGAATGGGGATTCCCATCAGAATTATTCCGTTTTCCTCTAAAAAACAATAGAAATCTAGGAAAGAACTGAATAATTCCGATCGGAATCCATTTCAAAAAGTTCCGTGACAAGTGTCCAGGACCGACAATTTTATTGTGTCTTTTAAATACGTGCGTTAATTTGCTCGGCGTGAATAAATACCGACTAACGCGACAGACGCGACAATCCGAAAATGTAGAAAAATTGAAATGTCTTATTAGTTGTCCGGCGGCCGGCGGAAACTCTGTAAATGATAGGGCTGTCGTTTTTTTTATCATATCTTGCACACGCGCGAGTTATAAATATGCGTCGACAAACCTGCGCGCCGCGTTTCAAATATACGCATAGAAAATACAAAGTGGAATGACTTTAAACAACGGTCGGTCGGAATCGAACAGAAAATATTAAAAAACGTGCGAAGCTTGAAATCGGGATCGTAGAAATGTCGCATCGTCGATTTTTATCATATTTTTGTGCGTGGACTACAAATGTATGCGTCACTGATTCCGCGCATTACATTCATATATTTTACCTGCGCCGCACATAGAAGTTTATATAACGACGGATGCAATTATCAGAATAACAAAGTTTTTTTAAAAATTCATCAAATCGCGAGAATGCTGTCGAATGCTATCGCTGTCCTTTTTTTTCCGCGAAAAGTACAAACACGCTCGTCTGTTTTAACGTGCGACGTGCATGCATAGTTAGATAACGGTGAATGTAATAACTGTAATAAGGACGGAAAATGTGGAACGCGAATTTTAAAATTCATGGGATCGCGAAAATGTGATCGGTGACTATATCGTTCTTTTCCGTGAACATATGCCATATGCCTGCTTCGACTTGTCTGTAAAAATGTAAAGGGCTTGCATTTTTCAATTCGCCAGATCGTATAAATGTGATTGTCGATTTCTATATATGCGGACAATATGCATCGACGAAATCGCGTTAAGTTTGCGCATTTTAAGGTTACATTTTAGGTATTCGCGAGAAATATAAATAATGATATAAACGTTCAAAAGTACATTTTGAATGTAACATATCGTGGGGATATATTCTAGGGGATAGTCTGTTTTAGTATTCTCGTTTCAAAAAGAACTTCGAAATTTCGGACAAATATTTTCGGATACGTATGAAAGATTTATAGATAACATAATTAGTGACAAACCGGTACAAACATAGAAAGGAGAGAATTCTTAACCATACAATCTTCAAACGTTTTAAATGTCTTATTTGCAATTTGTGTGTGAAATTAAATACGATCGATATAATACTCAAAAGTTATGAGAAAAGTGGATTTAATATTTCGTTAATATCATAAATAATTATTTGTTCAAAGAGCTTAAAGATGAATATAATAACGATTATTCAAATTCGGTGATAAATTTGTGAATAACCTGCAATAAACGAGTACGAAAATAAACTCGAAAAATGCTAATTAAGCAAGTTTAATTTTGTTTGTTGTGAAAGTGTGCAGGTTATCGATTGTTTTTTGTGTTGCTAGAAAAACTTGGTGAGTGATAAGTGCCATGCTAACATGTCGTGAAACATTGTGATGTGCCATCAAGTATGGCAGAATTGGCAGAAAATTGTGTGCGATACGCGTACGATGTTTTTGCTAAAAGTGGCGATCTAAATTCTAATATATTTGCGTTCATTCTTAACGAAGATGAAAAAACTTGATTTAAAAATGATAATACAATCCTTGATTTTTCATCAGTGATTTCTTCTCAAATTTACAATGCAAAATCGAAATCAATTCTAATCCGAGTGTGCTACTACGAGAACTTGCTAGGTTTACTTTTCACGCGTGAATAAATCCGCGCTCCGTTTTCGCAACGTTTGTGACAGAGGGAAAATCTCGGTAACTGCGCGGAAATGCGGCCTTTGATTTTCAATCAGTAACTCCTCGCATCGAAATTTGATTTGTGTCCAATGAAAATAGAAGGGAAATGTCAATTCGAGGAAAGCGAGTAATCACGAGTACGCTATTCTCGATTCTTGGCGATTGATTTTACTTATTCGAATCTCATTTTACGGTATCGCGATTTACCGGAGTGTATTATCGCGCGATGACAGTTTCATGTTACAACTTGCTATTAGCTATGATACGCGCAATTAAGAAAAAAGTGCGTATCATTCGCAAGTGTATAATTAATAATGCGGTGCATGTCACCGCTTTGTTAACAATGGTATAGAACACATGAAAGTATCACATCATTCTCTTCAAGGATTATCAAAAGTACATATTACTACGTGACTTTGTTCAAAATATGACAGGTTACTTTATTCATACTTATGACTCACTTGTGTCTCACAATTAGCGTATATCGAGTATTTTTCTGCATCGAAGCGTAATTACATTTCTACAAATATAATTACAGAGTTTTAAGGATACTCCAATGTATACTTCGTATCTCGGTTAGAAGGACTTTTTCACATCGGCACAAACTTATCTCAAGTTGAAAAAGATGCGCAGTAGTGTAGATACGGTAAACGAAACTTGCGTATTTCGGGGTTTAATTGCGACTACCGAACTGCTCTGAATTTCTATAAGGATAATTTGTGACACGACACAACCGTCGCGATGTCGTGTCATTAAGCTAAAGATTACCGGGAGCGACGGAAGGCTCGCTTTGACGTGTCCCGCGGGAAGACCTCCTGTTTGGTCTCGTTTTACAAGTCAATGCTCAAAGCGCGCGTGCACGTTGCTTCGAGAATACAAACTAGTCTGTTTACATGAAAGTCCGCGCGCGCACGGCCATCGGCTAGCCCGCTTCTAAGTAATTTCTCGTTTGCAGCTTGTTGGCTCGCCGTTTCGATAATGCGATGTCACAAAAAGTGTTGATGGTGAAAAGAAAGTTTAAGCAAGTTGTGTAGAAATTTTAATATAGCCGATGAATATAACGCGGGGATGTAATGAAGTTTGTAACACTAACCACAAGCATCATATTTTCTTGTATAGGATATTTTGATTTTTTTGGATGTTTATCTCTCATGGAACTTTCAGTACCTATATTTTATTGTGTGATGTGACTTGAGCGACATTAAAAATGTCTATTTTTCATCTGGTCCGCGAGAAGAGTCCGTGTTTCTCTTGCAATAGAATCTTTATACAATACAAGAAACGTACACTGTGTGTGTGTGTGTATGTGTGTTTGAAATTGAGTAGACAGCGTTTTCTCATTCCGCTGAAACTGTCATCCTCTTTTCTTGAAATACAATCCTTTCCGCTTAAAAATAAAAGTGAAAGAGGAGACCGGAGACCATTTATCGCGAGGTCTATTTGATTCTAAACGTATTCCGGCGTCAGAAAATGTCCATTTCCCCGTCCATTTCGGAGTTCAGGACCTCTCTCCTCGAATGCAGAACGGGAACAATGTAAACGTACCTGCGCAAATCTAGGCGCGATTAGGGAAATTGTAAGCGTATATATCCTCGCTTCATTTCGCAATGGGAAACGCGACGGATGAAATCTGGTTTGTGTTGCGGAAATCCACA